TTCATGCCTGATAAAATCCTTACATTTACGGTAGAAAATGTAAGCCTTTGTTCCATAACTAATCTCTTAAGTTTTCTGCAACAGAGAAGTCTTGAATATTTTTCCTAGAAAATTACATGATTAAAAGTATTATATTGTTCTTTGAAGATAGGCTAGCATAATTAGGGATTTTGTTGAAACTAACCTTGAAATGTCTTAAGAGATATCTTGTAGGATCGGGATATATGCATATTTATATGTATAAAATTTTTAATAAAATTATTACAAATTTGTATATGTGTATATAATTACTAATTTATCTTAGTAAATGGCTGGATTCTGAGAGATAGAAATGAATTAAAGTTCCAATGGTAGTATAATTGCCAACATTGTCTAGCACTAAATAATGCCTTCTTATATATAGGCTTTAACATATCATTTTTACCTATAACTACTACTGGGTAAAAATTTATTGAAAATTAGTTCAATTATTCTTAGCAGGAGGCAGGAAGATGAAATGGAAAGTAAGTGGACTTTAGAGCCAGATGTCTCAGGACCATGTCTTCTGAATTTTATGTTTTTTATTTAGATAAATTTCCCCAAAAAAACAGTCTGGGAAACAGAAGAAATTAACTGGGAACTGTACTTGGGATAAATATGTTTATAAGTGTCCCAACTAAAAAAAGGGGGGCTTGGCCTTTTTATTCCATATTAATCAGTCATTAGAAAGGAACTGTCTTGTTTTGGGGGGAAGCACCTTGGTCAAAGATGCTCCCTTGGGTGGGAGGAGGAAAATTCCTAGAAAAGCCGCTATAAGTTACCAGCAGTTACCACTGTGGGCAGCTGAGTGCACCAGTGAAGAGGGAGCAGAATCTAGCCCCAGCGACTTGACTCTATTTACTTCATGTGAGTTTATCCCACCTTTGAGCAGTCCCAAGAAGTTCCATTGATCTGGAGTCACACTATGCAATATCACATATTGATAGATGCAGCACTTGGTAAGCTCTCAGATGATGGTGCTGAATAAGACCTTGCAGGCATATAAGGCAAACTGTTATCTGGAATTTATTTTAGTTGCAGTCAAAATGAGTCACTGTCTATAGATAGATATAGATATAGATATAGATATAGATATATTGTATCTGGAGAGTGGAAGCTCTCTCTGCTTTCTGATCACGATGTAAGCTACTTCTGTCTGCCACACTCTTCTACAATGATGTTCAGCCTCACCTTGAGCCCCAAGGAATGGAGCCAGCCTTCTGTGGACCAATAACTCCAAAACCATGAGCCCTTAAATAAACTTTTTCTCCTTTTCAGTTATTCTGATTGGGTCCTTTTAGTCACAGCAGCAAAAACGTTGACTAAAACAGAAATTGGCACCAGGAGTGCAGTCATTGCTATGCCTAACCTGCCCATGTGGTTCAGAAGCTTTTTGAAATTGGTGAGAGGGATTTTGGAATATTTAACACTGCAAGCTGGAAATGCTTAAGGTTGTTGTAAGCAGAGCTTAATGGCCAATTCTGGTGAGAGCTCAGAAGACCAGAATGCCAATAGGACCAGGGACAATGATGACAGGGCTCAAGAGGGTTGAGAAGATAACTCTTTTGGAAACTGGAGTAGAGACCATTCATATTATGTGCTCACTGAGAAGCTATTTTCATTTTGCCACGTCCAGATTCTTACTGTGAGGCTGATTATAGAAGGAATGGACTTCTTAATCTGGTGGAAGAAATGTCCAGGCAGCATAGCATTCAGGCAGTGGCATGGATATTGCTGGTAGGTTTTAGCCAAATTTATTGTTACAATCAGGAGCAGAAAGCAGGGCATAAATATTTAGAAAAAGTGAACTTGAAAAGCCCAAGTAAAACTAGGGCTAAGGAAGTTGCAGTAGTTAAGACATTACTGCCACTACAGAAATGCCAAAGACTTTGCGGAGAGACAATAAGAAAGATGGCTTGAGGGCATCTCAGGAGCTGGCAAGATCACACTCAAGATCCAGCTCAAGGGAGTAAAAGTGAAAATTTTCTTGAGAAGAGACCAGTTGGGAATCCTGCTTGCAAAAGGGGGCTTTGGAAGTCTTTTCAACATGCTCAGTCACCCAGATACACAGAGGCTGCTGCAGCAAGTGTCCCTGGAGGCTTGGCTACTGCTCAAGATGGCAGCAGACCTTGGCATCAACCACTGGTCCTGAATTTGCAGGAATGCAGGATGCTGGAGTTAGGGGGTCATGTAGGCTTCCATGAAGATTTCAAAGGAAAGCCTGGAAGTCCAAGCAAAGTTCAGCAGGGTCAGAGTCCTGTGGGCACTCTCTGAGAAGTCTAAGTGTGGAGATGTAAGGAGGAAACCACTGCTGCAGTGAACACACCTGGGATTAAGAAATGTCAGTAACATGGGACATTCTCCTAGGAAAGCAGCAGGAATCCAGCAGAGTCAAGCCAAAATAAAGGCCCCTTGAGCTACAACCAGCAAGGCTGCAGGGGAGGAGCTAACAGGCCCTTTGGAGAGAACATCACAGGTGCCCTAGATGCCAGACACAGAGCTGCAGGACTTGTTTTCCCAGCTGGATTTGAGTCTTGCTTTGGTCCCATCCCTTCTTTCTATGCCCCTACTTTTATAAATGGAAATGTTTGCTCTGTACCATTATATATCAGATACTTAAAAATTGCTTTTAATTTTACAGGAGTTCACAATGAGAGATTGCCTTGAGCTTCAAAGAAGATTTTAGACTTGAACTTTGAGCAATCTCAGAACTGTTGAGATGATGGGTACTCTTGGGAATAGACTAATTGTCGTTTACATTGTCAGATGAGTTGGACTTTGGTGGACCAGGGCAGAATGTTATGGTTTGGATGTAAGGTATTTCCCAAAAGCTCACATGTAAGACAATGAGGTTCAGAGGAGAAATGATTGGATTGTGACAGTCTTAACCCTATCAGTGAATTAATCCCCTGATGGGGATTAACTGAGTGGTATCTGAAGTGGTAGGGCGGGCGTGGCTGGACATGATAATTGGGGGTCTGGCTTTGGGATATATAATATATATATATATATATATATATATATATATATATATATAGTATCTGGAGAGTGGAATCTTTCTCTGTTTCTGATCATGATGTGAGTCACTTCCCTCTGCCACACTCTCACCATGATATTCAGCTTCACCTTGATCCCCAAGGAATAGAGTCTGCCTTCTGTGGACTAAGACCTCTGAAACTGTAAGCCCTTAGATAAATTTTTCCTCCTCTACAGTTGTTCTGGTTGGGTCCTTTTTAGTCACAGCAGTGAAAAAGCTGAATAAAATAAAGTTCATTTTCTTCATTTATAAAATTAAAGTAAAAATACATGTCTTACATAGTTACGGGATTTAAAAACATGTCTATCAAGTACTTGTATATAGCAGGTACTCTATTCTCACTTAATAATATTGAAAAAAAAAATCCTAAACCATCACTATAAAACAAGGAATAAAGGACAGTGCTTCAATCCTTGTTTGGGACACTTGTTGTAGAGAAAACAGTGTCTAGCAAAGTAGAAATAAGACAGGCAGATATGAACTAACAGATATGTAGTTCCTATTCTACCTAGGGGCTTGTCTCATAAGATTTCTTAGTGATTGGCTTTGGGTTTTGAGTTTTGTGTTTTCATTTTGAAAGAATAAAATTTTTGCATTTATTTTGGGTCTTATCTTTTTATACTTAAAAAATAATCTGTTGGGAGCTGTAGTTCAGTGGTAAAGCACTTGCCTCACATGTTTGAGGCACTGGGTTCAATCCTCAGTATCACATACAAATAAATAAAGATACTGTGTGTTCATCTACAAATAAATTTTTTAAAAATCTGTTTTCTAGGGACAACAACAACAAAAAAGCATTCTTACCATAAACATTTCAAACTCTAAAATTCATGTATTATGAGAAAAAACATTTCTTCCTCAATCTTTTACTAAAAGATCAGTTGTATTGATATCTATTCCTCTAGCATTTTTTCTTTGCAAAGTCAGATATCACATGTACATAAGAACATACTTTTAGCAATAGTAAGATCAATTTATGCATACTGATGTGTCAGATACTCTGTAGACCTTAAACTCACAGTGCAGAGCAAATTTTTCAAATTTTTATCTTAAAAATTGGGATAATAATATAACTCATGAAATTGTTTCAGTTAGATGGGAAAACTTTATAATTTGTATATACCTCTGCAAAAAGTTCATGCATGTCATTTATGTGAAGTTTGACTGTGTCATGCTTGTCATATCCCAAATAACAGCTATTATTAGCATTTATTGCCAGAATGAATATCTGAGATCCCAAAAGGATGTTTTATGTCAGTGTTTTTCTCTCACCTCCTCATTCCTCAAAGAGAACAATGACTTGAAAACATTGGTTGGGTAAATACTACATTATCATAATTACAATTTCCCTGAGAAAAGTGGCTTGCAGTTTGAATATTCAGCATCATAATTACAATTTCCATAAGGAATGTAGAACAGTTATTATAAACAACACAATAATCACTTGGTCCGTAAGGGAGAACAGATTATTAGGGGAGCGAGGAGAGAGAAGAAGCAAGTCTGTGTTCTAATCAGCATTCCAGGGTAGAAATACAGAACCCAAGAATAAACTGTACCTGTACCATCCCCTTCAAATGCCCTTGCCTGAATCTGTGAGAAAATGTTACCATGATGGCAAATTTCCATGGGTTGATTAAGTGCTGCCTATATATTTTTTTCTTTTTTATCATTTATTTTTATAATTTTTATTAAGCATCCCTTCTATCTCCACTCATTGCTATGTCACCAAGAAATTTTTAAAAATCAAGCACAAAATACAAAAAGCACAAAATGAAAACTGTTTAGGGAGAAAATTTTCCATCAGGTATTTATTCCTCCACAATTAAATGCTTTTCCTTAGTACACATGAAAATGGGGGGAAAAAGTTAAGAGAAAAGAAAATACCTCTCCCCTGCTTATATTGATTTAATTGACTCATATTTCCTTCTTTTTTTGCTTGTTTTAGGTGAAGTGAGAAAAACAGAATTCAGCTTTCAAGGTTGGTACTTTTCATGATGCCTCAAAATATGTACATTGATATGGAACAGTATGAAAGAAACAGAGTAAAAAATATCCATAGCTTTCACTGACAGCTATTAGAGGACATTTTGTTTCTCTTTTCTTCATTCATGAACGGAAAAGTACAAAACAGTTTTTAACAGAATGCAATATAACAATCAAATACAAAAGCTGACTCAATCCTTGGCATTTGTGAAGTTGGAAACAATATTTTTCCACTCCATCCATCCATTCATCATTCCACTCATCCATATTTACACATTTCCAAATGAATGCTAACTAAATATATATTGTATGCAAGGCCTGTCATATAATTTTCTTCTATCCATATTTGAAATGACTGACCTTCATCAGATTCTCTATTTCTACCTCTTTCTTTCTATCTCTTAACAATAAAGCTTCACCTATTATCACAAGTCTTCAATTTAACGTGCTCTTTCTGGTAAATGATCAGGGTTTCCCCAACATTACTCAGCTTATATATGTTCAAATTCCCAAATAATTGATAAATATCAGTGTGAAAATAAGAAAATAATTATATCTCTAATCTAATAATTGAGTGTGTGTGTGTGTGTGTGTGTGTGTGTGAGGGGTAGTATAGTAATATCTAATACCAGTTACCCTTCCTGAAAATACTAGACTAAATGTATTAGTTTCTTCTACCTGTTAAGTAATTTTAAGATGTCCTAAGAATAAACATGCTGCTGCTACTATAAATTTGAAAACAAGAAAGGCATTGTCTACTTAGGTAGACACCACACACAGTGACTAAGGGCAGGCAGAATCTTCACTTCACTGGAATAAACTTTCTCCGTGGACTTGATCCTTGATGTTTCACCAGCAGAGATATATTCATTGCATGACAAGCTTTTATTCCATATGAAAATGTAAATCCCCTGGGATTGTCCATCAACATGTGATAGTTGTTTGTGGCAAATTGCATGTGGTTTATTTGCTTAATAAAAGATTTTAATATCATCATCCAGGCAAGTCATTTGTGTGGTACCAATGTTGTACCAATGTTGTTGTACCAATGTTGTTGTGGAGAGCAATGCTCTCTTGGTTGAAACTAGCTGGTGGACCTCACAGTAGCTCCCTGACATGCTGAGTCTATGCAGCAGCTATCTCTGGTGTTGGAACTCCTGGAAAGCCTAATGGTAAGGAGCCTGAGTCAAAAGATCCCACTTTGTTCAGTCTTCCTGAGTAAAGCAAGAGATACTGCAAAGTCCATTGATTGGTAGTATGCAGAAGGAAGATGTGTCAGCTTTACAAGCTACCAGATTTATTTTAACAGTTATTGTGGTAATTATGAAAACATGTGAAACTTAGAATTTCTGGGGAGAAAGAATTTGCTCTGATAATATAGAAAAATGAGACTTCTAATTTGATATAATGGATATTGCCAGGTATATTGTTATTTAAGTAAAGCAGAATAGTATCCAAAATTCTTAATCTGCCCTCTGAGATAGCAAATTCAGAACTGAGTTTATACAGAGCACACCTGCATAAAAGAACAGTGTAGCTCTGCAGTGACAAGGTGCTATGATCTGAATGTTTGTGTTCAAAATTCATATGTTGAAGTCTTTCATCCAAGGAAATATTATTAGGAGTTGGGGTCTATGGGGGAGTGATTAAGTCACAAGGGCAGAACCCTCATGACTGGGGTTAGTGCCCACAGAAAAGACCCCCCAGACAATTTGCTTGTCAATTCCACCATGGGAGGACACAGAAGGCACTTTTTATGAGGAAGCAGGATCTTACCATGCACCCTGTCAGCCTGTGCCTTGATCTGAACTTCCCAGATTCCATAATTGGGAGAATAAATAGCTATGCTATATGAACTTCCATGTTGATAGTATTTTCTTATAGTATTCCCAATCAACTAAGCCACAAGTGTTTTTTATCTATAAAGTCTGAAACATGAATGGGTTGAAATGAAACTATCTCCATACTGGGGTCCACAGGCAAATTGCAAAACATATCTCCCATCCTTGAAGGCCCAATGCTGATGCAGAGAAATTAAAAGGGAAAGAGAATTCTGGAAAACTCCAAACCCACCTATAGGAAATACTTAAATATGTGAAGAGGCCCATTTTGAACCTGCCAATGACATCCGGTCAATTCCTACAATAATCTGTGGTCATTTGACCATTTATATATACACTACTGGTTTACTAAGGTTTTCATTAGCCCTTGTATATCTATTCATGCTCTTCCTATGAGAAGGAACCACAGATTTTTGCATATTTAAAGAATACTCAACTAGTATTCATTTAAATCTTTTCTTTTTCTTCAAATAACAAAACCCAGGCTAGCAGAGTTTAATCACACAATCCTAAGTCATGAAGTAGAAGTCAAAAAGGAACCACAGTTACTTCCTGTAATGCCCACCTTACCATGAGGCATTCTATAATGATTGGTAAGAAAGATAGAAAGCTCTTTTATTTGAGATGAAAACTACTTCTGAAACACTGCATTCATACCATCTGGTTGCCTGAAATTGTTGTCTCTTGTATTTGTAAGCATTTCTCAAAGCCTCCTACTTCCCTGACACACTCATCAGTTCCCTGAGGGTAGAGCTCATGGCTGCCACTTCTCTGTATCTTAATCATATGTATAAGGCTGGAAAGTTTGTTTTGATTCTAAACCTTCTCAAGGCCAGGGAACCTCTGCCCCTCTTCTAGCTCAGTGAATCACATTGACCGACATTCATTGTAAAAGACGTAGGGTAGAGCAAGGAGGGGGGAATCACAGAAAATGATCAGAAAGAAAAGATGATTGAGCTTTATTTTGGGGTTGGCATATATGTATATTTTAGGATGTGTTTGAGGAGAAGATGGTCAAAGTGAATCCTTTTAAAATTTTTATTTGGGTTGATGTTGCATCTCAGTGAGAGTATTTGTCTGGCATGCACAAGGCCATGAATTTTATCCCCAGACAGGAAAAGACATAATTTGGCTAGGATTACTTGGGTTTAATGACTTGCCAACTAAACCATTGAACAACTGATAAGATACACAGTGCCTATTGAAAATATGAATGTATGTTTGGATAGATAGGAGGAAAGGTCCAAAGGCTAAACATTAGAATGAATGGACTCATTTTTTTTAAATAGAGAGGAAGAGTTAGAAATAAGAAAACTAATTTCCTTTTTATTACAGATTCCAGATCTCATTTCCTTTTGTCCTTCACATGCATTTGAAAAGAGAATGTAGCTCTTAGTTCCATGTTAGAGTTGTTTAATATTTTCACACTGGAAGTTTTATATTTAGATTTGAGCACCACAAATTTAGAAGGCTATAAATAACCTATTTTGCTATGCAGAATATACAAAATATCATTCAAGGAAACATAGATCATAGGATTACTAAAGAAATTTCAATATTCACTTGACTCCTTCAAAGATCATTGAATGTGATTAAATTTATAACTCAAAGAACCTCTTTGACAAATCCTTTTTTCCGCCTTTGGAATATTTTACATGGGGCAAATTTTTTAATCTTCATCAAAACATTGAATCTTCCTTAAGCTCTGTTTTTGGTGTGTACATCTCTCTCTCTCCTTCTATAATTTTATTATGTACTTGAACCTTGTCTTTCTGCCTAAAACCTTTCTTTATACCCATCTACCTCTCTTATTCTGGTGGCATATTCTCCAAGTTTTCCTACAAGAAAGGAAGAGATAAGAACTGATAAAGCAGATTGTAGAAATGCTAGGTCTACTTAAATTTTCACATCTTTTCTGGGCCATGTATATGCTGTAAAGAGAAAATGGGGATGGGGATGGTCATAATATTATACTATTGGCAGAGAAACTAGGCAGGGACAGCAGGAATACTGGAGAGAGCTTTGAATTAACTTCTAGTCAAACATGTAGCTGTTCTCTCCAATCCTTCCCACAGATAAAGAAGGCATAATCAATACTATCCCCCTCACCCAACAAAGTGGAGGAGATGGGACAAAAGTTTGACCTAAAATGGCAAGCATTATTTAGAAGATGGAAAGCAGATTAACAAGAGTAATTATTGTACCAGAGCGGAGGGTTGGAACTAAAGCATGTAGGGAAATCAGAGTGCAGCGTTTGAGCTGTTGAACCACAGAAATTCCCAGGAATTAGAGATATTGAATGCAGCAGTTAAGAAAGGGACTGAAAATGTAAAAACTGAAGTGGAAAGTCTGTAAATGGAGCAAAGGGACCCCCGGATCCTCTAACCCATACGATGAACTCATGCACCATCTTGTCAGAGACTTGGAATTTACTCTGAAAAGTTCAACTGGAAAAGCACTGGCCTTGAATATTAGATGAAGGAAGGGGCAAGGCACTCTACTGAAAATAAAGTATTTAATAAAAGTCTATAAAATAAATGTGTGTGTGTGTGTGTGTGTGTGTATTAAAAAGTGAGACCCTTAACACACATCCTCAACTTGGCTCTCGGAACTGTGAAAGCCACACTTGAATATTGAAAGAAAGAGGACAGTGTTTTCTGTAGACCCCTAAGAACTCTAAAGAAAAAATAACTATAGATATGGAAGCTTTCATTTCTTGAAATAAAAAGAGAGCCAGTACTTTGTTGTGGACTACACTGGGGCTCACCAATTGATACTCCTGCTAACACACTCAGAGATTCCTGTTGGCCTCTTAGGTTCTGCTTCTAAACATAAACAGAAGGGAACTACAGTCGGTAAAACAGGAATATTTACACAAACAGAAATAAGTAGACTATGCAAGGAGTGAAAAAAGATTAGAAAAATTATAATGCCCTCTAAATGAAGAGACATTGTATCCTAAAAGTAGAATGAGATGCTAGAACAATCATAAAATACAAAAAGTTCCTTGAAACAAACATATAATAGCTAAAAAAAGAAAGCATGAAGACATATTATTAGAAATCATACAAAAGTATCCAGAAAGTAGAAAAATGTTAAGTAGATTTAAAACATGTAAGAGTTCAGCAAACCAGAATTAATTCTGAATACCCAA